GTTCCATTATAATCTTATGTTTGGATGAAAGCTATTAACCAGATAAGATACTGACTCAGCCGACAGAGTAACGGCCTCAATAGTGAAGTGACGGGCGCGCGTGCAAAACGGAACAGTTCTTCTCTCTCATGCGTAATCATCAGGGGTGCCAACCGTCACGCTTCTGTCAAATCCGAAACTGTTTCGTGTATCAAGAAGATTTGGGGGATGATCTTTCTCTCTCCTCTACCCATAGTATAAAAGGAACACATCCGCTTCATTCCAAACTTACCACAATCAAAATTCAAACGAGCAAAATCAGGCGATTTCTACTCTACTGTTCATCATCTTCTACATTCAACAATGGCGGATTCTTCATCTGTTCAGGAAACCTCTTCCCGCACCAACATTCTTCCTATCCGCGCTCAACAAAGCATGGTGATCGATTTAAACCCTAAAGCTTACGAGAATTATATGTATCCTATGGTGGAGTGTCTCAAATACTCTCCATTGGTGCTTGCTCTTTCCAAGGTAGAGGTTGTTCCCATGGAATGCCTTTCCCAGGTCTTCTCCACAGTCCATTATGATAGATCAGTGGATCGCATCTACTTTGATCTTCTTTCTCACAAGACCTCCATCTCCAAGTAACGATTCTGTTGGCTCCTAGGCTTTGAAGCCGATGAATCTAGGGTTAATCCCGATTCCATCACCGTAGGACAATTATTTTCGATGTTCTACAACATGGGCTACACGGAGATTCTCACAACGGTCACCAAGTTCAAGAAGTCATGTCTCCCTCCTCCATGGAATGGTTTCTTCACCATTCTGTTCAAAGGGCTCTCTGAGTGAATTTCTGGTTCTTATGGGGCCAGCAAGTTGTTCATGACCATTCTCTATGGTCTCTATCACAGCCTCAACCTCGACTATGGCTCGGTTCTGTGGCAGCAACTCATTCAGAGCCTAGCCTCCTCCTCTCGCCACACTGAGGTGTCCTACGCCAGATTATTGACGCTCATCACCAAGTAGGCCATGGATAAACTTCATGTTCCCACTGTTGCAGGTTCCCTTCTCTCCACCATCAGTGTCTTCCACACCACCAAGATCATTGTTACCGATCCGACTAAATTTTCTTTCGTCGGATCCATTCCGGATTCTATGTCCAAGGAGAGCGTCATAATAAAGGCCTACAAGGACTTTCATCCTTTGGGTCCAAGGGAACTTTCTGCAGAAACGGTTCAGTCCATTAATGATGCAGACAAACCTGCTGCTAGAGGGAAGAAACCCGAGAAATGGAAGATCAAGAAAGCAACAAAGGGGGCAAAGGGTCCTTCTCCTAAGAAGCGAAAACCCTCAAAAACAGATCTTTCCCCACCAGCGAAGAAGAAGAAAGTACAGCCAAAGAAGAAACTTATTCTCTCTTCTTCCTCCAGCGATTCAGAAGAGAACCATTCTAACTCAGATGAGTCGGCTAGAGGCGAAACCCCGCCTCACTTGCCTGCTCATGAGGTACATGTTTCATCAAAACCTCCTTCCCCTTCTCCTATAACCACCTCTTTCATTCCCACCATAACCTCTTCCATTCCCATCATAACTTCCTCCATTTCCATTCCCTCCATATCTAACCCTATTTCTATTCCCCCCATAACTACCCCTACTTCTCTTCCAACCACAACAACTTCCATTCCCCCACCACTTTTCACAGAAGCCACCAAAACTACCACCCGTGAGGTTCCAACCAACGTATCTGATACGGGGGTTCCAACTTCACAACCTGAACCCACTTCCGTTCCCGAACCCACTACCACTACCGAACCACCCACTGCACCCTTATCTCCCACTCCATCTGCTGAAACCGAAACCTTTTTGGGAGGGGAGGATACCGTTTTTTATTCCATCTACTACAGCCCCTACCAACTTCAAAGTGATGATGATGATGATGCTCCAGTAACTAAAAAGCACATCAAGGAACTCCACGAGAAGATTGACAATCTTGTGGCTTCTTCCTCTTCCTCAACATCTCATTTTTCGGAGGCTGCCATTCAGGGGATGGTGGAGTCTCTCTCCAAAGCACACGAAGCCTCTATCAGCTCAGCTGCTGCTGCCATTGATAAATCCACGAAGGCTAGTGATGTTGCGACCGAAAAAGTCGAAAAACTATTTCAAGACGCCCATATCTGGCTGGAGTTTTTGCAGGCGGCATCAGAAACAAACACTAAGAATATATGCACCGTTGTGGAGAAGCTGGTCCATTCCTTCGAAACTGAAAAAGACCAATTTGCCAGCTTCCACCATCAACTCAAAGAAGACAACCAATCATTTCAGTCTTCGGTTGTGGATCGTCTTCTTTCCTTCCATGCCACTCTTGCCGCCGAATCCACCACAAAGGAAGAGCTTGCTCGAAAGTCTTCCGAGCTTACTCTAGCAACTCATCAACTCTCCCAAGCTGAGAAGGAGATCAATTCTCTTTGTTCTGAGAAAGCTGTGGTCAAGAGTTGTGTTTCAGATGTCCACGGAGCTTTGTCTAACATTATTGAAGCCCATGAGCCGATTCTCAACTATTCGGTGAGCCGTAGTCTTGCAGAGAAGCTCGCTCCTGCTCTTGCCCTGCTTATCCGTATTGAAGGCATTCCTGAGTAGGAGGACCATCCAAAACAAGGGGGAGAAAAGAAGTCCACAACTCAAACGAAACCCCCTCCAAGTTCCAAAGCTCAATCACTTCCATTTTCATCACTTGTCCCTCCGAAAGCAACCAAACCAACACCTGTTCCTTCATCAGGTTTGGGTGCTCAAACCAAAGCCAAACAAATTGCTGACGACAGTGATGAAAGTGATGATCAAGAACCGATTGTCAACTTAGTCAGAAAACAGACCAGAGAGAGAGAGCTAGATGAAAACACTCGCATTGTCAAGGAAGCCGAGGCAAAGGAGAGGAAGATAAAGGAGGCTCATGATCTCCTTGAAAGCAGGAAAACTCTTTTTCCTCCTTGGACTCTCGAAGTGCTTATCAAAGAAGCCATTGAGTCCCCTTGCACTCTTTGGTTAGAACCGGTCATCTCCTTAGACCGTGTCAATTCGGTCGATTCCCAGTTCGACATGCCCCTGACCCAAAAGGCCTTTATCTTCCATGCATTTGCTCATGTAGCTGAAGTTCCCCATCCTCACCCGAAGGTGGATAGGGAGCTTATAGACTATTATCTGAGGACCGCTCAACCTCAGTACCTAACATGGAGCGCACAGAAGATAACCGACGTTCGGGTTCTCAAACCTGTTCGTGAAGGCAATTTCGTTAATTTTAGATTTAAGGTCTTGAGGGGATCTGAAAAATCCAAGCATTCCATCTCTCTGACTGATCTTCCCAACCTAAACCCTCATGATTGGATTGTCTTGCACAACATTCTTCTTGTCAGTGAAGCTGAATATGGTCCGATCATAGACCATTTCAAGAGAATGTTAGTTTGCTATATTTTGGAGGTGGCTAGGCTTGATCAATAGGTTGCTAATGTTCTGAGGAAGAAGCCCATCATCACTCCAGTCGGTTCTGCAAGCGATATAAACAAAATGAATATGGGAAAGATTGATCCGAAACATAACTCAGTCATGTTCACCAGGGCAGAAGGTCAGAAATGCCTATTTGCTTTGGCTTACAAACATCTTTACACCACTACCTATTTGGAGCATGTTCTGGGTATCATTAATCGTTGCAAGCAGAACTCGGATAGTGATAAAAAGTACTTCAATGATATGATAAATTGGTAGATTCACTTCCGACAAACACTTCTTGCCATCATCCCCTGCCTATTCAAGACCGTAAAGAAAGCCAGTGTTGCGGGGGTAAGCAAGCTGGAGTGAGGTCTCGCCCCAATTGACGCAAAGGGGGAGATTGTTGGGTACTTGATATTGCGTCTTGGGCTCGCTTCCTAGCCCATCATGTATACGGCATGGGCCTGTCCATTCGTATCTTATTTTACTAGGGTTTGTGTATTAATAGATGCTTGCATGCATCTTTTTCACAACTGATAGATCGTGGGTTTTTACGTGTAATTTTAGAAGATCTCTTTTGTAACCCTAGAATCCTCTACAGCGGAAGTTCTTTATCGAGCTCTGCTGAGGATTGAACGTTCTAATCATTCAACACATTCAAATCCATTCTTGAGTATTGCTTCATTGTTTTACTTTTATTATCTACCTGTTGCAAAGATCTAATCGATCAAAGAGTGTTTATATCTCATCAATATCAAATATTACAACAAACAACTCTTTGTTTTTTTCTAAGGAAAACTTTATATAACGAAAATGCCTCAAAAATGGTTATCTATAAAAATAAACAATTTTAACCAAGAATTTGCCAAAGAAGACAAATACGGAATTTTTCTTAACCAAAAGAATTCCATGCTTGTTTTCCAAAAAAAAAAGATTATCAAACATAAAAAATCATTCTAACATATAAGAGATGGCTCTGATACCACTGCTGGGTTTTGGTATGAAATAAAAGTTTGTTTTTCATAAAAATGGAAACAGAATACTTTAAATAAGAAGTTTATTTTTAGTTCATAACAAAACCAAACATTCATGGATCCATTTATAGAGGTTAGAATGAAATAAAAACAGCCGTAAGATGGTTTACAGATAACCTTTGAAGCCTTTGAACCCACTTGGTTTTGGGGTGTTGATGAAGATAGCAAAAATCGAAGTGTATGATTTCTCAACAAATATCTACTATCAGGAGTAAGGAACTTGGAATGCTAGTTCCTTCATGTATTCTTGAATGTCTTAAGCCATTAAGTTCATAAATCAATTAAGCACTAAAGGGAAAAACTTAATAGGTCTTCTGAACACCAAAGTGAAACACCAAACCTCAAAGGTTTGGAGCTCCTTCACACTCACAGTTTTAGAGAGATGAAGAAGGGAATAAATAAAATCAAAACTTGCATATTTCTCACACGTAAGACACTCTTATATAGTCCATGAGAGGTAAGACATGACCATTAAAATAATCTAAGGTAATGGTAGACTTTTGAAGCATGAAAGACAAAAGGTGGAAGATTGACATGCAACCTCGCACACCATCATCATGTTTCGGCCCATGCCTCTTTTAAAAGGTAAGATTCTTTATTTTTTATAAACTCCTAGTTCATAAGATATAGACTTTGTATTTAGGTAAAAGACAAAAGACTCCAACTAGTCCAGAATATTGTGCATGACTTCTTAATTCATACCATATGAAATAACAACTGGTAATATTCTCTTATAATTATCATTCTCACAAAATAATAATTATTCCCTAATTAAAATAAAAGAATTTATATTATTTATTAATAATCACATTAATAATAAATATATAAAATGTGTCAACTTGATAAAGGTGTGACCCTATAGGATCATATATTATTAGCAATATCACTCCATAATGATTATTAGGCATATAGATCCAACACTGATAGCCCTATCTAACCTATCAGAGGAAGAGGATCCTTCAGAGGATGAAGATGAAGTCGATCCAGAGGATTTTATAGATTCTATTCATTAGAGTATACTTGAATACATACTTGATGAGTTGGATGATGGCAGTCTATTGAAGGATGAGGAGGGCCTCACTAATGAGGAGCATATCCTTACCTCATCATGCTCTCCACCTAGGCCGTGTGATCAACGATATCGCCTTCATGGCAAGAGTCCCCTTGTGATGAGAATTCTGAGGATGAGTGTTCATCCAGTGTCTCACCTAGACATTTTCTTTTACCTTTCCTGTTCTAGTAGTGTTCAGAAAAGGAATCCGAATTCACCCTTTGATCCAGCTAGAATCACCGATTTGCTCAGCAAGAGGTGGATTACTGATGATCATCCATGATTTGAGAAAGGCAAGTCTTCTTTGGCTCCACCACATGCACCATTTAGGGGTAACACCGAGGATGACCCGATTCTTCCCCTAATGACTGAGGGAAAAAGATAAGCAAACTGAGTCTGGTCTTTGGAGGAGTTTGTTAGAGCTTCAGATGCTACCTCTAGGGTGGTTGAGCAAAAAGTCGGAAGACTCAAAGAGGATGAGAATGATGATGCAGAAGCCATCCAGATCTTCTATCACTGCATGGGTGTCAGTCGCATCGAGGAGAATGCTTTGGATGCCTATATAAGGGCCCTAGAGTATCGGCCTCTGTTTATGGAGATTCGACTGAATGCAACAGTATAGAGCTATCGTTGATGAGCAGGAGCAACACCAACTTTAGGAGCAGTTTGAAGAGCTCGTCTGCCATTTGATTTCCCATTTAGGGTGGTACGAATTTCATCTAGTGTGGATTGTGACCTATGTTAGGGTTAGGATTTTTGTGGAATATCTATTGTATTGCAAGTGTTTATCACTACCCTATTAGCAATTATTCTTTTATAAAGCTTTTCCATTTCTAACCTTACACGGTTGGTAATTTTGTAATCTTTGTAACAAAAAGCAAGCCATTCTAACCTATAAATCATTTTTAGTATTTTTTAAACATTGAACACTCATTATCTGTATTGCCTCTAAAACACTATCATTACTTAGTTGAAAGATTGGTTGAGAACTTTCACTTTATAACTTGGAAATATGTAAGGATTTGGGAAATACCTTACACTAAAATACAACTCATACATACTTTTTTATCGCTAATTAGTATAAACAACTTAAATGTGTCTTTTCTAAACATTTAGGATAATGGACCCGTGAAAGAATCCAAAAGCATGTCCATCACCAACTCCCCGAGTTACTCTAAGTGTTACACCAAGAGTAACCCCAACTACGGAAGGAAATCCATACCAAACCCCATCAGTTGTCAATACCTCAACACCACCATTTAAAATGGATCCCACTCTAATGTAGAACCTTCTTGCACAATGGATTTCCACAACCTTAGTTGGATATCAAGATGTACAGAATAAAAAATTTAAAAAACAGTAGGAATGGTGGTGGCAGTCTCGTTATTAACCAAAAAAATTCTAGACCTTGTTCATAGTTGGATTTCATGGGCTGAAAACTCTAATCCTTCTTCGGTATAGAAGGAGATGTTGGTCTATCCTACTGGATAGAAAAGATGGAGCCAATATTTCATATCAGTGCTTGCACTGAGGACTACCGAATCAAGTATGCTACTTACACATTGATGGATTTCGCCCTGAGTTGGTGGAATAATTATGCCAAGTCAATGGGAATCGAAGATGCTTATGCCATGGACTAGGTAGCCTTGAAAAATGATGATCATAGAGTGCTTCCCTCAACAGGAAGTCCAGGAACTGGAGCAGGAGTTACGAAATCTCACTATGAAATGATCAGAGGTTGCTACATACACTTCTCGATTTAACGACCTTGCAAATATCTTGCCTAGAATGGTGACCCCGGAAAATAAGAGGACCAAAAGGTACATCTAAGAATTGGCTTCACCAGTTCAAGGTCTAGTTACTGCATCAAGACCCTCCCCATTTGATAGTTCTAAGCAATTGGCCTATCAATTGACAAATCCGTCTATCCGTTAGGGTACCTTGACCACACCAACAGAAAAGAACCAAGATGGGAGTACAAAAAAGAAGTTCCATGGGAAGTCAAATGGGAACTTTAAGCATCACAAACCTAACCCATAACATGTAGTTGCGTATGCTGCAATCCAAAATATTCCTACCCCATCTAAACCACATTCTAGAACTCTACCCCACTGTACCAAATGCAACTTCCACCATGTTGGAAATTGGAAATATATGACCTGTAAAAAATATGCCAAGAAAGGTTACATCGCGAATTAATACAGAAAGAGCCCAAACACTATGAACTCAATAACTACTGAAGCAGGAAGTTGTCACTGGTTTAAATACAATCAACCAAAGCATTTTAAGAAAGACTACCCGAAACTGATGAAACAAGTGACCAAGGAAGAGCATTTGTGATCACTATAGGGGATGCTCTTCAGGAACCAACTATGGTTACTGGTACATTTTCTCTCAATAATATTTATGCTTCTGTGTTATTTGATGTTGGTGCCCATATAAGCTTTAGTGATCATAAGTTTAGAAGCATGCTAAACCATAAATTCTACAAACTTAATGAAGCTTACTCGATAGAAATGGAAAACGACCAAGTAGAAAGCACCTTATAAATACTTACCAATTGCCTTCTCACCCTGAATAACCACATTTTTCACATCGACCTAATACCCATAACCATCGGAAGTCTCGATGTGATTATCAAAATAGATTGGTTATTACCTCACCAAACGGAAGTTCTATGCTAGGAAAAAGCCATCTGATGAAAGACCCCAACTTTCATATTTTTGAAAGACCCAAACTATCATATTTCACAATATTATTACTCCAAAACATGCTACTTGCATATTCATAAAAGCAATATTTTACACTGATGAAGGGATTAAAAACTACTTGATACAAACCGACTATTATAAAGTGTTATATATTACATAACTACCCAGGATATTGTAATTTATACAAACATAAACTAAAGTACAAAAGTACTATTACAAACTATTTTAAATCTTTCAACAGTATGTGATCATACTAGTTACTTATCACCTGCAATTGTTAAACATTGATAGGGTAAGCGGTGATACTTAATGAGTTCAATAATAGATACAATATAACGTTATGCCCTATATATACTTCAATGTGGCAAAAGCAAAGGGGAACAATAAGATATATGTGAAATCATGTGACAAGCGTTCATATCAATCAAATACTTTATTCAAAGATATACTTTTCAATGCTTGATATACATCAATAAAACTTTGGCCCAAATGGCATAGAAGACATGCGATTTCTGATTAATATCTTGTTAGATTTCAGGTTTGTAGTACTGTCTAACCATTTTCCAATTCCATAGAATAGAAGTCATTCTCTTACTGAGACATGCTCTACATGGCCAGAGGCTACTTACCAGTACCAATGTGAATCTATGTCCTTTCACTGATCACATGGTCAAAGGTATTACATTTGCTATAAACATAGCGAATAAAATAACATGGGAAAATAACTTAGAATAATAACACTAAAAAGCACATAGCACATATAACACATAACATACAAGTGTTCCTATATATTGAACTCACCTTGGATTAACCGGGGTTTAAAATAGTAATTTGGACAACACTTTGGCTTTAAATATAACTTTCTATGTTGAAAACCGGGAGCATAATTGAAAACCGAACTCTGCGATGGTAGGGCTTCAAAACCGAAAAGATAAAATTTCCGGGCTTCTTGGGAGCTTCGGGACGTGTTTCGGGTGCTAAAATTGATACCGGGGCTTCGGGGAAAGTCAAAATGAAGAAAATATGGAAAAAGGGATCAAAAGTGGCAATTTCTCAAAATTACCCGAGAAGGTTCGCAGCCTCCCTATTTATAGGCGAGGTCCGAAAGTCAGCTGAGAAGGATAAGTCAGCAGCGAGGACACGAGGCAGCAGGAGGAACGAAGCATGTGGCTCGTGTTGGATTAGTGTCTAAGTCCATAACTATTTTGGTATGTACTTGACCCGATGGTGCATGGTCCTTTTGGGTTGCCTTCACCAAAGCAACTTGATTGGAGAAATAAATAGAGAGAAACGTTATTATGATTTATTAATATGTTATAAGAATAATATATTAAAGGAGAAATCATATTTGTTTAGTTAATATTGGTCAATAATTAATTAGGAATTAATTTTGTGATCAAGTGTAATTAATTAAACTAGAGGGGCTGATTTGTAATTATGTGATAGTTACAAAATAAGGTAAGGATTATCTTAAATATAGGGTGAACGAATTTAAGGAGATAATGCCTTAGAATTCGACTAGGATAAGGGTTTCTAAGACTTATCTTATGGTTACTTGGTGGGCAAGCAACTAGATAAGGATAAGGAGGACTAAAACCCTAATCTTTACAGCTATATAAACCCCCTAAGGCTCATAAATTCGTCTAAGCCATCCCAAGAAGTCCTAATGACGAATTCCTACCTCTCTCCTCTCTCTTTATACCTTCTCCATTTGCTCTTGGTGTTTGTAAGCCATTAGAGGAGTGACACTTGTGACTCTAAGCATTCCAAAGTCAATACAAGGAGATTTGGGATTGTTATTGCTACATAACAATCAAGGTAACATCTTAAACCTAATTATATGTTAATATCGATTTCCATATGCTAGAATTAGGGTTTATAGTCTTGGAGTCAAAGCATGTACAATAGAGAAACCTAGATCCAAGCATTAGGGTTTGTATGAGCACATAGGATGTCTTATGACCAAAACCCATCAGTGGTATCAGAGCCTAGGATGGTTTCAATTGTATTGATGCATTGTATATCTAAAAAAATTCGTTTTTATGGTGTTCTAGAGGCTGGACTCGCCAAGTCCAGGGTGACTCGACGAGTCCAGCTTGACTCGACGAGTCAACTCGTCAGATAGTGCTTATCTCAGGATTTCTTGCTGTTTTTGCATATGGATAGTTACCTTATCATGTTAGATCAATATTAATCTGATTATATGATATATTTGACTATATTTTTGATCTAATTGAAGATATTTATCAATTAATAAGATAATTGTTTCCTTATAAGATAATTGATTAATTATTTTTGAGTAAATTGATAAATTGTTTTGCAAGAAATCATTAAACAAATCAAATATGGATAATTATGTAACTAAATGTTAGTTTAGATTGTTTTTTATTTGATCCTTGTTGTTATGAAAAGTTTCATATTTTACCCTTTAGGTTTTATAGTTTCAATTTGAACCCAAAGGTTTTGTTGTTTTGAAATTTAAATAATTGAAACCCTAATGTTTTTGAAATGTTTCAAAACTTGCCCTCAAGTTTTGGAATTTAAAAGTTAATTAGGAATGTTAAATTCTAAAACCATAGTAATGTTTTGAAAATTACAAATACACCCTTATGGTTTTATTAATTAATTAAGGAGTATAATTAAAAGAGACTTAATAAATCCATAAAAGTAAAGGTTAACCATTTAATTGAATTAAAAGTGTAATTGTTAAAGTTAACCACCTAACATTTTAAAAGTGTAAAAATGCACCCTATACTATATATAACATTAAAAGTCTAACATTATATATATGTATGAGTAAAAGTCAGTCTTACCGTTAGTAGGCCTCATTCACGAAGCTGGTCTATAAGGGGTGTTTAAGGAAATTGCCTATAAAATGGCGATTGAATGGGTATCCACTCTTACCCACCGC